TCAGTAAATGAGCATGCGCCATATTTGCTATAAGGGGAAATTTACACGTTATTTAAATTAGACTGAGTGTTTGGTTTGTAAGAAGGGCGCAACTAGTTTAAACTTTAAATAATACCAGGTGGCTAGATGGGTTAGGTTAACGCCCATGCTTTACTTAATTTTTACCGTTGGCAAGTATTAGCACTAGCAGAGGAGCATCATTTAAGGTATGAGAATTATATTTTTTCAATATTGAAATTTTTGTTTTCCTCTTTTGATTTTGATTTCGATTCTGTGTGCTGTTATATTTTTGCGCAAATCTCGTAAGGCTTAAAAAATGCATAAACATGCAATGAGCTGCGGGTTGACTTTTCGAACGAACTGGTGGCGACAATAGCGGCGACGTCGACGACGGCACAAAACTCTTGGTAAACGTTAAATCAGGCAACAGTTTAACGTGGAAATTATTGCGAATTTGTTGTGCGAAAAATTCTAAAAGCGGTAAAAAATTTTATGTAAAATCCAAACTTATTTTAAACTCGTTTTTCGTATGCAAAAATCTTACGGTGTGCTTTGTGTAATGTAATATGCACAAATATTGAGTTTAATAAATATTTTAAAACAATATTTTAACAAGAAAACAAATATTAATAAAATTAAATATAATAATTAAATTTATGTTAAATTTAATTAATATAAAAAATCGTGCAAAATGCTAATTTTTCATGACTTTTTAACATTTGTCTACGTTTGTTTACATTTTTATGTGCCCCAACAACAAATCAAAGAGTTTAATTTAAAAAAAATATTTATTTTTCCTTTTTATTGTTGTTATTATTTTTAACTGAGTGCAAATAAAACGCGTGCTCTTCTTACACAGTTTTGCTGCTAATGTATTTGGTGTTTTGCTTTTAGTTGGCTTATTTTATTTCAACGTAGGCGCTTTTCTCTCCACTGTGTTGTTTGTGTGTTGGCCATACTGTTACTCCCGCAGCAGACAGATTAGCTTGGATGTATGTTGCGTGCTTTAATTTGTCATTATGTGTTGCTTGCATGTATTCGGAAAGTACGGTTAACGTATGTGCGTGTGTGTTAGTGTGTGCGTTGGATGTGGCTTAGTCGTTAAGCTCATTAATACGCTTTGCGGTTGCTTACTCGATTGGGTGCCCACTTGTTTTTTTTTCTCTTTACTCTTTGACAAATTTCCATCGGGAAGAAGTTTTCTTGATGCAAATTTACTGCGCCTTTGGTTAGTTTTTAGTTTGTTTGAGTAAAGCGGATGGATTTTTTCTTCGGTTATTAGAAGGAGGCAAAGCGGAAGAAATATATGAATGAATATGAACAGAAATGCTTTATAATTAAATTAAAACTGTGGTTATCGAGTAGAGAATGTTTTTTAAAATTTTAAATTTATGCAAATAAATTTTTTTGAATACAAAATTTTAAAAATTATTTTCGATTAGAATTTAATATGGATTATAAATGGTCTGAAATAAAACTCCCTCAATTTTTAGTATCAGGTTTTAAATTATAACCCGCACACGTATTACTTAATACGTAAAATTAGCAATAGTAATAAATTAATAAACAGTAAAATTGTACTACTCAATATCCAATAAATGATGTTTAAAAAAGAGAAGAAGGATTTTAAACGGTACTCATATATTTGGATAACCAATATTTTAGGCCCGTGCATAGTTCTTTGATTTATAGTAAACACTTTGAATAGATCTACTCCGAGAAATTGAAATTGATTTATTTATTCTATTTAAATTTCACAATTAAATAAATACTTTTTACCAGTATTTACAGTATTTCCTAAAAATTTAAAATTCAGCTATTTAATAAATAATTTTTTAATATTTAAATAAATTGTTTAATTATTTTAAAATATACTACGGATCGATGTCAATCTAAATTTCATATCCCTATTTAGTTATTATAATAAATAAATCAGGTTATCAAATAATTTTATTTTAAGATAATATTTATATATAAATATAATTGGTTTTAAAAAGAAAATTTAAAAATCTTTTTCAAAAACTTTTAAAGAGTTCTTGAGTTTTCGAAAACAAATTATTAAAAATTTATTAAAGAAAATATTAAAAAAATTTAAAAATAAATAATTAATAACATTTAATTTTATTATTAGTACATATTATTTTAGGACTATGCAATTAAATTTTTTTTATTAATACTTATTTGTTTTATAGTAAAAAATTCTTTATTTATTTAGGAAAAATTATTTTAATTACTTTTAATAAGTAATATATTATTATAATATTCAAGTAAAAAAGTATTTAAATATGAGTGGAAGACAAAACATATATCAAATCCCAGTTTTATAAATAATATTTTCATCATTTTAATATTAATTGAAATTTAGTAGCTTAAAAAATGGGTTCAAAAAATTTATTTGAGAATTTTAAAAACATAAATTATTTAATAATATTTTAAATAAATCATTTAATTATAATATTTCAAAATACTAATGCTGCTTTATTGAATATTGAGTTATTTAATGTTGAGAATATAGTTGATATATTTGGAGAAAGACAATATATTTTATATAATTACTGGAATATAACTTTTGATTGATTAGGTTAGGCTTATCTGGTTAGATGTAAGTCACATAGTCAAAGTATTCTGCCGATACTTTGTTTAGATCTCATAGTAGACAGTTTCGCTAATTTAAGGAATACGTTGAATTCTATTTTTAAGACAAAGGCACAAATTATATTTTAAAGATTTATTAAAATATATTTTTAGTCTAGGCGTTTCTGTAATTCTTATTGAAACGCATCGTACTAACAGCTTTTGAACTTTTGATAGATTTTATAATAATTAGATAAGCCACCGTAGTTTCTTATATATTTAAATTATTTAATAATATTACATAATCAACTCTAAATTAATATTGGACTAATTACGAAAGTTACTTTTTTAATGTATTTTCAGTTCATTAGCCTGTTTCTTATAATTAATACAATCATTTTTTTAAATGTTAACTTATTATGAGTTTATGTTCTTCATCATACCCAATAAGTAGGTTTTTACATTCATTTAAAATTATAGTTTATTAATTTAAATATAATTTATTGAATAAAATATTTAAAATTAAAACATAAGGTTATAATATTTAGTATTTTTTATTTAGTGTTACTTATTAAATATTATAACTTTATGTTTTGATTTTAATTATTTTTGCCAGTAAAGTCTGTTTAAGTTCATTAATATAACAAAACTTTCAAACTTAAATAACATCTAAAAATAACATAATTTTGTCTTCGGAATTTCACCGTTTCATCCTATAGAGCTACAGCTAGTGGATTTATCTGGTAACTTAACCTTTCAAGATATTTCAAACTTCGTTTAACAACCATATATTTTATATAAGCAATATCTTGATCGTTATTAATATATTTCTTTGAATAAAACTGGAGGCTCTGCTTAATTAATCTTTCGGGATTAAAATCGTTTAAAATTTTTACATTAAAGTTACTAGCTATTTTTGTTATATATATAATACATAAATAATACATATATATATGTCAATGTTACTCTTACTATATGTGAATCCTCGAATTTTTACCATCTTAAACATTTGAAGTCTAGTCTAAAAGTTCATTTTCTAAATAAGGCTTGGAAATCAAAGGTCATGGAAAGTTCCTAAATTCTTTAATATTAAAACTTTATTTTTTTTATTGTTATCAAATAAATATAAAAAAGGAGAGGTATGAATATGTCAAACAGTATTTATCATTTACAGATAGTTTAAATAGTCCATAGTTAAAATCTTTTAATCACATCTAAGTCGTAGAAATCGAAATAATTACCTTCTCTATTGATATTGAAAGTATTTAAACTATTGCTTAGTTACAATAATTGTGTTTATTTTTAATTAAACTCTTCCTTACAAATAATTTGAATTTTGCAAATAATTAATACTTAATGATAATAAAAAATAGAAGAAGTTAAATCTGACAATAACAATGGATGTCACATTATCTCATAATGGTTATCAGACAATTTTACAACAGTGATTTTTTCTGTTAATTTCTGCAACTAAGAACTTTGGGTTATAATTTTCTATTATGACTCTCCTCCTTCTAAGGCAAAAGCTTTTTGAAGCGCGTTGTTTAATAGAGTCCACTTACTGTCTTCTTATTTCCATACTATTATAGTGTATTCGTATATATTCTTATATCATAGACATAGAACCTATTTTGCATATTGCTGAATATTTATGTATTATATATGAGTACGTCATATGTATATATGAATACGGCACTAAAACTATTATTTCTATAACACCAAATAATAAAAGGTTATAATAATAAGAAATTTCTCAAATAACCTTTTGCGATAATCTTATTATCACTAAATTATAGAATGTACCAAACTTGTGCGGAGATATTACCTAGTTTTATGGGTCTGATGGGTCAGAATCTTTGATGCTTTTGTGCCCAAAACAAAACTCGGTAAATAACTTAGTATACAACTATAAATAATTATAACTGATATTATTGTTGTTGTAATATTTTCCGATTAAAATATTTTTTAGCTGTGGGTTATATGTATAGGTACTTGTTATATATCGTTATCGTCTGTTGTATAACGTTTTCATTTTAAACTTATACATACATATATATATCACTACGTTTTGATTCGTAATATTATATTCTTACTTCTGTGGTATGTCTTGAGTCTGTTAAGTTTTTTAATTGTTATTTGTTGTTCTGTTAAACATATAAATTTTGTATTGTAGAGAATTTATTATTACTAAATTTTAAGATATATTATAAAGTGAAAAGTAATTTTAAACAAATTGAAATTTGAATATTAACATTCATAATAGAAAAAAATGTACTATTAATCCCTTAATAATGCTAGTTAAAAATAAAAGCAAAAGAGACTAAATGAGTTCAATAAACAATAAGAAGAGATATAAAAATTAAATATAAAATATAATTCAAAATTAAATAAAAAAAAGTTAAAATTTTAAAATCAAATTCTTAAAAATGCCGCAACGTTCCCCTTTTGCCATACAAGAATTACTTGGCTTAAGTAATTCAGCAGCAGCTGCAGCGGCAGCAGTGGCAGCAACACGTGCTGTTTCAAATGGAACTGCTTCACCACCACAAATAACAGCACATGGCAATAGTACATCACCGACTGCTTTAAGCCAGAGTAAAACATCGCTATCAGGAGCACATGATTTAACACCATCACCACGTAGTTCGTCTGCAACTTCAGCTTCTTCAATGTCTATTGCGACTGCAGCTATAACACCGGCCATGTATGCGAATTCTTCAGTTTCACCACCGTTTACAGCTGATCAACATCATCAAATGACCATGGCAGCAGCTTCACGTATGGCATATTTTAATGCTCATGCCGCGGTTGCAGCAGCATTCCTGCCACATAACCTTAATGCCACTGGCGGGACATCCTCAGCAGTGCATCATACACAAATAGCACATCACCAGCATCCACATAATCTGCTGCATGCACAGGGTAAGTATTATTAGTTTGACAGATTTTAAATTAGTATCCGTTAAGATGAAGATCCATTACTTTATAATAAAAAAACACATATTTATATTTTGAGTAGTTTTATAAGCTATAATAATAATAATTAACATATATAATATATAGAATAAGATATTGGTATTTCTATATCCTTCACACATCCAAATTAAGTAAAATTGATATAATTAATTAACCAAGATGCTTCAAACGCGGCAAAGATGATCTGATGTTATACTTAACTCAACACAAGTATAGTATATATAAGATATTTTTGACTATATGTTCCTCTGTTTGTCTATCAGTCTGTTTTAGCAAACACTCAGATTTAGCTACTCAAATTTTGATACGGACGAATAATATATTCCACGTGGACTTTTTGGGGTTGAGCCTTTAAAATTTATAAATGTAGATGTTTCATCTGATGATTAGTCAGCAGATTTCTATCTGATTTTTTCTAATCATAGTAATTATTAAATTATAATAATCTTCAATATGTATTCTAGTTGTTCTAGATGTATACCTATGTACAATATATGAAAATAATATTTGACAGAAAATTTATAGACACAGTCAAACCTGTTTTTGTGCGGCGGATAGGGATCGCAACAAAAAAATACGAGTAGGTATAAAAATTAGTTTTCCAAACACAATTGAAAAATATTTTTTAATGCGGTGGATAGGGTCTGAAACGAAAAAAAAACTCACAAAAACTGGTTTTTACTATATTTTATTCTATTTTTCTTTTATTCTAAGAGTTCATATAACTTGCCAGAGATAGTTTAGAATTTATTATCCGTTTTAAAAAACTCTTTTGAATCCAGGAATCATACAATAAGCTGCATAGAATGGGTTTATAGAGTCTTTATAATAAATATAGAATTATGTTATAATAGGTTATTTAACTCGATTGCTTGCACAGGAACTTACTTTTATGCAGGAATAATATCATACAATTTTTGCGTTCTTATACGGTCGAAAATTTTCGTTTAAATTTAAAACTCAGAGGGTTTTTATATTTATCCAAACTTAAATGAGTTTATAATTTAAACCGTTCAGTTTAAAAAGAAGTACATAACACTGATTATGTACATCTTCTAAACCCTGAGGTTGATTTTCAAAACTAATAGGTTTGTTTTTAAAACTTATTCGGTTTAAATTTTAAACCGAAAGTCTAAAATTCGACGCACTCTTTAAGCTCTAAGGTTTAAAATTAAAACATATCGGTTTTAATTTTTAAACTCAAAAGTTTATACTAAAAACTTCAGAGCATAAACTTTAAACTCTTTGCTCTTAATTTTAAACTGAAGGTTTATTTCTATATTAACCCTTTAAATGAAATAGGAGCAATAAAATATATTTTGTTTAAAAAAATATTTTATTTATCGTTTATTCAATTTATAAAATTATATTTCATTTATAAAAAATAATGGAAGTGGATAAGACCAGATACCTTCAAGAAAGCAGTCTTGTATCCCTTTTGATGCGAAGACTGTTAGCACTTTTTTTTTACTTCTTGCCAAGCTTTTGTATGCTGAGTGGTGATTTGTGGAAACTGAATACAGAAATCAAGTAAAATCTGAAAGTGAGTTCATATAAGAATTTCATTTCATATTTTCAAATTTACTTTACTAACCAGTTCGGGATCCAAAAAGTAGAATGGAAATATATTTCCTATATTGACTTTTTGCTCTAATAACTTCTTTCTATGCTGTGTGCTGCTGCTTCTAACACACAGTTCTTCTGAATTTTCTATTTCATACTTCTTTCTTTACGAAGTTATGAAGTTACGATTTTTAAGTTGACTCTGAAGGTAACCTGTATTATTATCAGGATCGAAAAAAATTTTCTAATGGGAAAAAAATGAAGTGAATTGAAATAAAAGGAAGTTTTCAAAAAGCAAATTTCTTTTGCATTATTTTGTATACTTACTGCTCCATAATACTTTGGATTGGTTGGCAAAAATGGGATAAGCTCCGTTGTAATCGTTGCAATGCGCAATTTAACTATTCTGCTCGGAAAATCGCCAAATTTACTTATAACGAAATCTGCCAAAGCACTGACAATATATTTAATATATTTAAATATATTTTTTTTAACGAAAAACACTTTAAGATATCTCCCGCACGGCTCTATACTACATGCGCACTTACCAAACGATCACGAACAATTGCTGCATTTTGCATTTGCGCATTTCTTCTGAGCAAAAAAGTGGAAAAACTGAGAACTAGTGTAAACACAACTATATAACTGTGGCGACAATATGGCGCCGCAATAAGAATTCGAGGAAAAAAACCTTTCAGTTTTAATTTAAATTTGAATAGGTTTATAATCACAACTTTTGGGTTGAAAACTAAAACTTTTCGGGTTTAAATATTTTATATACGTATATTTTTGCTGACTTTAAACTCTGGGGTCTGAAAACTCAACCTTTGATGGTTTCAAAATAAAACTTGCGGTTTATGTTATCAACTCACGCAGTTTATTTTCTGCGATTTAAACTTTAAAGTTGAAGCATTCAACTTCTAGAGTTTATTTTCTTATATATTACCAATTATAAACTTCAGTAGGTTTAAAAAGCCAACCTCAGAGTTTGAAAATATTGATATAAACCCTAAAAAAGTTTACAGGGTTGAGAATTTAAACTAAAATTTTCGACCGTGTAGATCTGTAAGACTAACAACTGGTAATGTCAGCTTTTGACACAGTTCTAACGTTTTTTCTTCTAAATTGCAAATTATGATACTTGGAACATTTATATATTTATTTTTTTTCGAATATATGGAATTTATATATATTTGTTTGGAATATATATTTACATATTTGAAGGGTTTATTACCTAAATTATTTAAACTATGATCAAGGGGTCCAACAAAACTTTGCAGAGAGTAATACATATTTTTCATGGGCTTGATTTTGCTCTAGATACGGGAGTGTATCATCTCTTAAAATACATGTGTTTGCTTCGGATGATTTAGCTCAAAATTGGTTCATATCCAGTTTTCAGTCAGTATCTCTAACTTGTTAAGCTTACTACCAAACTATTACGACTTAAAATTAAAAATAGAATGCTAATAAAAATACCTTTATTAAGTTAATATAATAAAAACTTTCTTAAGAATTGTTTTATTTCTTTATACTCACAAGTGAGAGCCTCGTAGAATTACGACGGACTAAATACCATATACATATGTACATATTCAAATATAATAAAAAACCTCAAGATTTCTGTTGTGAACCAAAAATAGACGTTAAGCTTATTAATAATTTGCATAATTACATTCGATGAGATATCAGAACAAGTTCATCAAATTATTTTCACACATTGATTAAAGATTTAACTGTTAAAAAACTACAAAAATAAACAAAATTAAAGTAACAAATACAATAAAATCAACAAATCATTTTATTATTACAATTATTATTATTATTATTTGCTTTTTTCAAAAAAATAACAAAAAAAAAAAAAATAGGTGAAATGAGAAACTCGTTAATTCAAATTAATCGGAAGTCAAAAAATAACAAAAATCCCAATTAAAGTAGAAAATTGAAGAAAAAATAAACATTTTTAAATACACAATATTTGTATATTTGTTTATACAAATAATAATAATAATAACAACAACAACAACAATAACACAGCAATACAGAAATACCACTCAACATAAAACAGTAACAACAATGATAATTTCAATAATCACAACAGAAAATGTGGCATCCACTGCTGATATCGAAACGAAATACAACAACAAAGACTCGCCGTTTGATGAAAAAAGATACACACATATCGAATCGAAATGAGATTAATCCGTTCGTACGCTAATTACTTGCAGTACTTGACTCCTAAGCGGAGGAGTGTAGTTGTGTGTCGAACACAATTGAATGACAAACACTTTATTTGTATCTCCGTTTCGCTGATGACGCTGATGAGCTGGCCAACTATGTATAGTACGAAGCAGAAGTATCGCAAAAAATTGAATTGTGTCAGTGTCCGACAAATTGCAATTTTCATATTCAATTTCGAATTTTGTTGTACTTCACAGGCAACGTACTCTTAAATCACATTAAGTTGACAGATACAACGACAAACAGACAGACATGTTGCTAGTTCGATGGATAAGAAGTCTGCAGTGTTTAAGTGCTACGACAAGTAACTCGTTATTAAATATGCTTTCATCCGGATATGATAACTTTGAACTGTACTTCTATTTTTATTTTTTATGGGGTTTGTTTTCTATAAGATATATTCTTACTGACACGCTACATTTAAGTATCTGCAGCTTTAGTTTATATTCAAAGTAAGGAATTCATTCCAACTCAAACTGCAGATACTGTAGAAAAGAGAGAGAAAACTGTATACAATGTACTTGAGGAGTATTTCATGGATCAAAAGGATCCAAGACTAGGAAAGATATGCTCTATATTGTCTTTCATTTAAGAAATCGAACTTGGAGAAACACACTCTAATCCGACTAAGGGGCACAATAGATCTTTTAGGTCGCAGTGCAATATCCCTTCTTTTCAATAATAATATACATTATATTATTATATATATATATCATTTGTAGTATACCTTTATTTCACTCGTATATTATATAGATACATAGATATTATAGATATTATAAAATAATTTATATAATATCAATACCTATATATATATGTATATATATTATCTATACAGTATTTCATCAAATGTCTTTTAAAATGCAAAGTATATGTAATTTAATAGATTTGATTTAATAATAATATAACTATACTCCTATTAGGTTTCAATACCCTATTTCCAGTTTTAGCTACATTTTACTGATCCTGACAAGCTAACACAAAAAATATATATTATATAAATTCATATAAATATATATATATATACATATATTCATTTTCATTAAATATATAATTCAACAGATATTATTATTAATGGTTAGAAAGCAGTATAACCGGAATAGATCTATTGTACATAATTCAATAAACACTAATGCACATAACAA